AAAGGAGAACTCTGTTTTTATATATAATGAGAATTTTTGACATATTAATAAAAATTTTGAGTGAAAATACTATTAAAATAAATTCTCAAAAAGGATCTCATGAAAATGATTTCTTTAATTTGTCATATAACTAAATTCATAAGATTATGTGAAATATAAAAATATGAAATACATGTATGCAGAATAATAATTGAATAACTAAATGATTAAATATGAATATGAATAAAATATGAATATGAATAACTAAATAATTAAATATGTGTCTGTATTTTCTTATATGGTAATTCAAATTATAATATGTTAGTACAGTTTTTGATCAACTTCAGCACATCCGAAAATTAAAAATAACATAATCTAACAAGATTATGAAATCGATGAATCTTTTGTTACTACTGTAGTATATACTAAAGCAAAACAAGCAAGAATTAATTCACTATAGTGTTATTACGTTAATTTTACATTAATAAACTTTATTATCTTTGTAATGCTAAATAGAAATATACATGTAATGATCAAATAGTAAAAGTTCTCTGTCATTTTGTATCATTTAATTGAACAAGTTTCATGTACATGTGTCTTCTTTATTCGACCAAATATGAGATTGTATTACCGTTACGCATCAAATTTGCACTGCATGACATACAATAAGAGCTTGATTTAACGTGATATATATAGTATTTCCATAAAAATTAATGTCAACACAAAGGTAACACTGTCCTGTATGTAGTAAATCGGGGGCGTAAAAAAACTCGATGTATAACGTATGGGTTTAAAAATATGTTATACATGTATTTGTACATTTAATTAATGCACGTTATATCAAATATCCGTTATATCAAGTTTACGCTTTGTAATTTAAAATCTAAGAACCGAAGACATTTGAATTTTTGTATTAAAAAGATATAAATGGTTAGAACCAAATAACAAAACAAATTCAGTATTTTTCCTATTTGGATATTCAAATGCGTGTTTATCGTTATGTATTCTTAAAAGGAGCTTTGCATTGTTAATCATTTTTGGATTCAATGATTTCTTGAATTTAGCGTCAATATTAAAACCACATCAAAACCGGTCCTTTGACATATAAGAAGTTCTGAGGTAGCTCAAGAAAAAATTTTGTACCTGCAAATGATAATGATAACGAGCCAATTCTCTAGGAATTAGTAAAAATGTCATCTGGTGGTGAGAAGACAGTTTTTTTGTAAAAAAGCGAGTCTTTCTACAAGTATAAATTAGAGCGTCATCATATAAACTTTGACCATAAAGCTTTAATGAATTCTTGTATTAAACCAAAATCTATTAAAAACATAAATGGATACAAAGAGTTTATTTCGTGCTAGACAGATTGTGACACACAATAACGATAAAAATGGACTTATGAACACAGTTATCAAAAAGAATGCATATCTCAATATCGATACATAAATTAAAAATAGAAGTACGTAGGCTGGTTAGGCTCGCATAACCCAATGCGCGCTAGAAAAATTGGCGATCAATTACTATATACGAGTTATGAGACCATATGAAAAGCAAAGATGCATATATGTACAACAGATAAACGAGTTTTTTGTATTATATAACGATAACATATCGCATTTTGAATCTCAGATATAAGAGTTTTCTCTTATTTTCTTTCTAGCAAAATGGTAACATCAACGCTAGTAAACCAACAATTACTAGATTTAGTTAGTAATTTATTAAACCCGATACCACAATATGTATTAGGCAGCCTACCAGCTATAGCAACCATCGGAGCAGCACCTATGGAGGATTTTTTTCAAAAAATAATGTGGTTATTCCGATGTCTTGGTTCTCCATTTATAGGATTATTTTATACATGTAACATACCGAGCGACAGTACATTTATATTCTGGCTCCCAAAACGTTATTTTAGAAAGGTAGAAAGAGATGGTGAAGGCAAAACTATAAATAATATCCCGTACAGACCTGTTGGACATCATGCCTTGTTGTTAGTTCTGCCCGAGTTCAACCAGAGATTCGGTGATGAACTCCAAGAAAATGCACGCGTGCTACAAGGATTGGATGAATGCGTAGCAAACGCCTCCGTGTTGGAGCGATTCTCGTCGTTAGTGGCGGCGTACTACATATCTGTGG